CTCCAGGGCGTCCCCAGGCCCAACGGGAAATGCTCCATCGCTGACCTCGCGGGGACTCTTCTCGCTGTGCGTTAGCCTTTGGGGCGACAGAACGGCAGGAACCCAGCGAGACGTGAGAGCGCGGCCAGGCCTGTCACGTCCGAGGCCACGGAACTTTCTCGTGTGAAAATGCTTCTCCTGTCCGTGTGCCTGTCGATGGGCACTGAACGTTTCCCACCTCGCGTCGTGGCGAGTCGCGCTGCTCAGGAGAAGCATGTGTCTGAGTCGCTCTCCCACATCCTCCTGGGCACCGCCGGGCACGGGGTCACAGTGTCAGGCCGTCCCCACGTGTAGCTGTCGGAGGAAACATCAGACGGTTTCCCACAGCGGCCGCCCCACAGCAACCCGCTCCACACCCTCGCTCACACGCGTGTCCGAGGGGGCGTGAGGTGCTGCCGCTGCATCTGTTTCCCTGGCGACTGATGATGTCGCGATGTCTCCATGTGCTCATTGGCCGTTGGTGTCTCCTTGAAGCGTGTTGGTTTAAATCCGTGGCCTGTTTTCTGAAATGGAGTTTTCTGCCTTTTTGTTGGGTCGTCTGAGTTCTTTCTATATTCCGGCCACCAGGCCCCTCGCGGGTGCGGGCCTAGTCAGTACGTGGGTAATTGGTCATTTGTCTTTTCGCTTTCTTAGTAACGTCCTTTGTACACAGATTATCTGTTCATTCTGAGAGAGTCCAGTTTGTCTACTGTTTCTGTTGTGGCTCATGCTTTTGGTGTCATATTCAAGAGCCCAGGTCCCGTCCAGGGTCATGAAGATCGGCCTGCGCTTTTACTGGGTTTGGTGGTTTTGCTCTTCCATTCAAGTCGCTACTCATTTTAAGTTCCTCTGTATACAGCGTGAAGCGGGGTCAGCCTTACTCTTGCACGTGGAAAGAGAACGGGCGTGTGAGTTCATCTGGACTCGCTCTGTCTCGTGGTCCGTAGGGCTGTCCTGCCAGCACCACAGTCGTGAGCACTGTAGCTTGGGGGAAGCTGTGAAATCAGGAAGGGGGAGCCGTCCGTACGTGTTTTTGTTTCTCAGTACTTTGGCCTTTTAGCCCCATGTGAACCTGTGGGCCCTCTTCCGTTTCTGCGTGATGGGGACACAGAGGCCGGTGGGATCTGATGGAAGCCGCACGGGAGCGGCGGGTGCTGGGTGCCGCCTCCCTCCACGGCTCTCCGTCTCTCACAGGCGCGCGCTCCACCTTCATTTCTTCCAGCAAAGCTTTACATTTTCCTTTCTGGGGCCTTTCCCGCTCTGGTTGGAGTTATTTCTGGCATTTGCTTATACTGGATGCTGCGGTAAATGGACTGTTCTCTTACTGCCCTTCCCATCTCTCAGGGAGGTGTCTGACACACAGCTGACCTTTCCTGTCCATCTTGTCGTCTGCAACTTTGCCGACCCCCGACTTTTCAACTCTGTTGAGACGTAACTGACATGCAACACTGCGTGAGTCGAAGGGTTACACCATTTTCAATCCCAGAAGATACGGCGCGAGAAAGGCGCTTGGGAATTCGAAAGAAATCACCTGTAAAGCCCTTTGGACCAGACGCTGGGCACTGCAGCAATGGACGCGGAATGCCGGTGTGACCTTCCTTGTCCAGCAGCACTAATCCCCTGGAGGATGGCCAGCCCGACGCTGCTGGGGCGCTGCCAGGACAGAGCCCGGGGCCACCCCTCACCCCCCCGGACGGAGCCCCAAAGCCAAACCTCCTTCCGTCACCATTCGCCCCCTTTAGCCTTTTCTGCACCCTCCCTGCTGGTGGCCCACAGGGTCTGTGTCTGCCTTTTTGTTTGTTCGCTTGTCTGGTTTGCTCATTGTTGCTTTCAGGTTCATGTTCGCATGTGAGTGACCCAGGGGGGTCTCCGCCTTCCTGCCCGACGTGTTCCACGTACCGCTGCTCCCCGGCCGTCCCTGCGTCTGCCACAGCCGCGCTTCGTCTCTGACGGCTGAGTGAGTCCCACTGTGCATGGGTACCACATGTGACAATGCAGTTTGTTCCTGAAACCACATAAAAAGAAAAATAAGTCCATCTTTTAAATAGGAAAAATCATGTGTTCTGTTCCAACCAAGGAGGACTAGATGATTTCACAGGCAGGAAACTAAATCCACGGGATGTGTGTGCACAACGAACAACTGGAAAGGAAATTGTCCCTAAACTAGACGCAGCCAACGCTTGACTATGCCAGTATCTCCCCTCTTTCTGCGGGTTCCCCCCAAATTTCCCCTTTGGATGCTCAGCTCTCCGCAACCAGACTGCTCTTCAGCCCGAAGCCACAGCACAGACAAGCCCTCGGGCACACGCAGGGCTGGGCCGGGCCGCCTCCCGGGGCCTATGGCGTGTTCACGACACGGGGAGGGGGGCGACGGTAAACCTGTTGAGGTATCCCCTCCCCCCCCCCCGGGTGGAAGCTCTTCTTTTTAAAAAAGGGAGAGAGATCCGTTTCTATAAAACCTTTTTACAGTTTATTTTCTGTTGTTCATCTTTAAAGTATAAAAATGAGGCTCTAGCTAAATGCAGGGTTTCCGTGGTGAAGCGTCGACCGTGTGAACAAATAAATAAATAATTACAGTCTTTGGCAAAACAAGCGAAGTCTCATCAATCTGTACGAGAAGATTGTTTAAAAAAAAACAAATAATTTACAGAAAATATGAGCGATTCTAATATTCACATCGCCATTCCGCACCGCTGCATCCCTCGGCCACACCCTCCCCGCCTCAGTCACGTCCGCCACCCTGTTGTCGTGGGAACAGAAGTCCACAAAAAAGTAAAAAAAGTACAGCAAAGTACAGAGAACCAGCCTCAGCGAGAGCAGCAAACTGACTATCAGATGAGATGGGGGAGGGAAGGCAAACGCTTCGGGCTCCCTGGACTTGACCTCGAAATGAAATGTTAGCAGCAGGAAGGACCTGCCCCGTCGGACGAGACCAGCTCCTCTGATGAGACCCCCCGTCGGAAAGGGCACGCGGCCGACAGCACAGCTGGACCCGACCTGCCGCCGAGTCAGGTTGAACCCTCACACGGGACGGAGGATGGGGGAGGGCGCATGGACGGCACCGCAACAGCAAGATTAAGGTTCCACTCTAAACGCTCGTCATCATCTGTTTATTCTACCGCATTTTACAGCACGCTTTGTCTGACAACATAAATTATCGAGCCTCGTGTTCTGACAGGAAGATCTGCTGTAACCGCCCTTGTCTCAGGTGCTTCTGGACCTCACACGCCCTCCGTGAGCCCTGACAGATGTCAGGTCAGTCCCTGGAGGAACTGCCTTCTGTCTCCTTCAATAAATACAGGCACGGCGTGTGTCACTGGAGCCTCGGTGAAACGCGTCACCCGATCCGGTGCAGGCGACGGCCTGGCTTCAGAGCCCTGACTGGGAGTCGGGCGCCGGCGGGCGCTGCCCATCTCTGCCTGCCTGGCCTCGGGGCAGGGGTGGGAGAGAAGCCAGGGGAGCACTCGGGTCAGACGCGGGCAGGTGGCGACCGGTAGCTCCCGAGTCCTTGACAGCTCGAGCAGCCCCGTGAGGGCCCCGCCAGGCCTCACCTGGCCCGTGTGCCAGCCAGTGGGCAGGATGGCCCCTCCTGGGCAGATCCATCTCTCTCTGCTGAGGGGGCTGTCACTGTAGGGAGGATTAGGAGAGGGGTTTGCCTTGCCCGGCCACGCCCCCTTCAGACAGGAGGGAGCCTCTTCCTGTGGGAGCTAACGTGACGCGAGCGTGGGCAGCGCCACAGGGGCAGCGGCGGCTGGGCACGAGGCCTGAGTGACAGCAGCGTCTCACGCACAGGGTGCCCTCCGCTCCGCGCACGCACGGTCGGCAGTCACACGTTCCACACGCACGTCCTTCTCTCTACACGAAGGAGAAGCAGTGCCATGGCGGCCATCGCGCCACGTCGTCTCGTGGGCCATCACTGCTTCCTGGCGGGCTGGGCGTCCCTCCTCGGGGCCCATTGGCATCTGCCCTCTGGGGGCACTTGGGCTTGGGGTTGAAGGAGGTGAAGAGCCACTCGAAGTTAAGGTCAAGGTCAGAGACGCTGCCGGAGAGAGAAGCCGGGGACGGGGACGCTGTCACAGCATCTGCGGTGCGTGCGGCACACGCGCGTCCGGGTCACACGTCTGGAAAGACAGTCGGCGGCTAGGACGGGGCATTTGTCTCCTCCCATTTCTTTGCCTACGGCCTACAGTGCCGTCATTTTAATTAAAGGAAAGACATCCATGCCCACCGGCCTGGCTCAGGGGCGGAGCGTCGACCTATGACCCAGGAGGTCACGGATCGATTCCGGTCGGGGCACAGGCCCGGGCTGTGGGCTCGATCCCCCGTGTGGGGCGTGCAGGAGGCAGCCGACCCATGATCCTCGCTCATCAATGTTTCTCTCTCTCCCTCTCCCTTCCTCTCTGAAATCAGTAAAAGTGTATTTATGTAAAAGAGGCGTCCACAGGCAGCTGGATGATGGCGGATGCAGACCTGCAGGGAGGGAGGCACAAATGTCCAGAAAGGCCGCTGGCTCAGGACAAGGACACTGCGCCGGGGGCAAGGAGGTGCGTCGGCACCGAGCCCTCCTCTCGGCCCCCACGTCTGTGTCACGTGTGGTCTGAGCAGCAGCTCTGAGCCTTACTTGCCTCGCTGCACAAGCGGTATTTTCTGTCTACGTGAAGGTGTTGGGCCCGGGGGAGCCAGGTTCCCTCCAGGTCTGTAACCATCTGAGCAAATGCACTTGAGAGAGAGAGCTGAGCCTCCTCCCTGCCTCCCTGCCTCCTCTCTCCCCCTCCCTACTTCCTTCTCCCTCTCTTGCTCTCTCTTGCGTTCTCTCTCTCTCTCTCTCTCTCTCTCTCTCTCTTCCCTCCACAAGGGCAGTGCTGTGAAGTCCCACTAGGGCCCTGGAGGTGAAAGCGCTGGACGTGTGGTGGGTGCCGTGGACGGGGGGCTGTGAGCATTTGCTGAGCGTGTGGCTCCCACGTTCAACTTCAACCCTCACAGCAGCTCAAGCTGAGCAAACCCACATCTGCCAGGGCCGAGCCCTCACTCACGCCGCAGCCTCGTGACCGACCGCACAGGTGTGCCCGCCTCCGGCCTGGACGCCCCAACCCACCTCTGCACTCGTACTTGAGGTCCGAGAAATAGACCATTTCTTGAGAGAAGACGAACAGGCCCAGCCGCCCGCCCGCGTAGGTTTGGTCGTAGATGGGTCCCGAGTCTGCCATGACCTGCTTCCCTTCGTGCACCAAGACCCTGCGGGCGGGGAGGAGGGCGGCGTGAACTCTGGGGAGGGCTCCTGGGAGGAAACTGCTTGCTCCGGCCACGCCCCTTCCCTTCCCTTCTTCCCCCACTCACTGCCCCAGGCCAGAGAGCAGGGGTTTGCCCGACTCTGCCTTTCAGAGCCAAGAGCAGTCGGTATAGTGAGCAGCACGCCCTTCTGTCCCTCAGGAGCGGCTCACCGTATGTAGCCCGTCCGGGGCCTGGGTCAGGGGGGAGCGGCTCACCGTATGTAGCCCGTCCGGGGCCTGTGTGTCAGGTGCCACCGGTAGGCGGTGTAGTCCTTCCAGCCAATGTTTTTGGGGTCGTGCCACAGTGTCCGCACCTGAGGGAACGTTCCCCGAGTCCTGAGCGCAGCCACAACAGCAAATGGGAACGGGGGGGGGGTGGGGGAGGGCTTGCTCTGCATACCAACCCCGCAACCCCGTCCGTAGAGTAAGCTCCAGGGCGGATGGAGAGCCACTGACAGGGACCAGGACGTTCAGTGCTAAGAGCACATCCCTGAGCCAGGTCACAGGTCCAGGTTCTGGACCCTCCGCGCCCTGAGCTGGGACCGTGGGAGAAACACCTATTTTTAAACCATCTCCCTGTCTAATTGGCCAGAGAATCGCCCGTCATGCTTGCAAAAGTACCAGCACATGGCCTTTAATCAGGGGGAGACTCAATAAAGGGGGTAACATGCTGGTCACTGAGTGAAAAAGCACAAAAGAGAAGGTGGGTGTCCCCAGGGTGGGCTGCCCCCCCTCACCTGCCCCGCCGTGTTCCCCGTGTGCCACAGCGCGTTCCTCAGGTGCTCGCCGGTGCCCGTGGTGGAGTTGACCACCTTGAGGGACACACCCGAGTAGCCGTAGGCGCGGGTGGGCTGGTCCTCCCAGTAGGTCTGGGTCACCTGCTTCCACATCACCACGTAGAAGCGGCTGCTGGACTGGTAGCCGAAGACGAAGCCGGCGTAGTCGTCGTCCCGGTCCGTGTTCACGTAGAAGGTGCCGCTGAAGTCCACGGACCCGAACTCATCGAAGCCTGCGCGAGGGGCAGGGCCGGGAGTCAGAGCCGCCCTCGGGCGCCTGGCCAGCCCTTGGCCACGCGGAGCTCTGGGCCGCTCGGCTGTGCCCGCCCTCACCCGGGTTCTGTCCCTGGGCGGGACCACACGAAGAGGGGCTCGCCTTTGCAGATCCGACCTACAGAGCCACACGCACTGCGTTAGGTGACGGTGTGTGGCTCAAGGTCATAAAATAAAAGGGCAAGTGGCTTCCTAAAGGTAGCCTTTCAGAGGCGAGGGCGGGGCAAGTGCCAGCTCTGAGCAGAGGTTGTTACAGCCGCGGGGACGGGCCACCGAGGACGCCCGAGTCCCCTGTGGCTGTCAGGAGCAGCCATGGGCTCGGCAGTCGGAGGCTCACCCACGGCGATGCCGGGGTCCGAGTTGGCCGTCTGCACCAGCTCCTTGCCCTGGTGGCGGATGACCCAGTTGGGGTCGATCTGTGTGGTGCCCTTGGGGTCCAGGTGCACCATCTGGAAGTTCCTGAAGTCGGTCTCGCTGATGGCGCTGTTCTCGGGACACACGTCGTCGATGTCGGGGACGCTGTCGTTGTCGAAGTCGTCCTTGCAGGCGTCGCCCCGCCCGTCACCTGCCAGGAGGATGGGACGCGCAGGCTCAGGATGGGCCACGCCTCAGGAGCTCGGCTCTCAGCCCTGGGAGCCGGTGGGCGGGCGCTGGCCCTGGCACCGTCACACCTACCGTCCGCGTCCTCCTGGTCGGGGTTGAAGACCAGCCGGCAGTTGTCACGGTCATCGGGCACCCCGTCGTTGTCGTCGTCCGAGTCGCAGGCGTCGCCCCGGCCGTCGCTGTCGTGGTCGGCCTGGTTGGCGTTGGAGACGTAGGGGCAGTTGTCCTGGTTGTTCTGGTGGCCGTCGTCGTCGATGTCCTCGTTGTCATCACACTGGTCCCCCACCAGGTCGTTGTCCACGTCGACCTGGGCACAGAGCACCTGCCGTGAGCAGGGTCTCCCTCTCATCCTCCGGGAGCGGCCAGTTTGGGGGCAGGAGCGGCTCCCCGAGATCACAGCCCGGCAGGACCCAGTCTCCATCCCTGCTCCCTCCACGGGGCCTCTCCCGTAGGGAGACGGGAAACTGTCCAGAATCAAGCCCTTTCTGATATCGTCTGTGGTTGTCCACAGGGTGGGCCACCGCAGGTTTACAGTTGTTCGTATGGAAAATAATATGACGATTAATAAATAATAATGCAAGAATAGCCCTGGCCGGCTTGTCTCAGTGGTTAGAGTGCCGGCCCATGGACCGAAGGGTCGCGGGTTTGATTCCTGGTCAAGGGCACGTACCTCAGTCGGGGCCCATGGGGGAGGCACCCAGTAGATGTCTCTCTCTCTCTCTCTCTCTTCCACTCTCTAAAAATCAATGGGATAATATCCTTGGGTGAGGATTAAAGTAATAATAATGATGCTATTGCAAGAATGACCTCTGCTCTGTGGACTCACAGCTGAAGCCCACAGCTGCCCGCCCTGCATCCTGTGAATGACATACACATTCTCACACGTCTCCCGAGGCAGCTCTGGGTAAACCAGCCGCTGGCTGAGCCAGGGAGGTAAGTGCAGACCACACGGCGGAGCCCCTGTCTGTCCAGCCGTAGCCACCGAGACACCAGGGCTGAGCATGGAGGTCAGTTCAGCACGTGTTCCCGTGTCATGCCGCGGCCGAGCTCATGGACACTCACCAGGACGAACGTACGTTTATGTCTGAGACCGAAAGGCCTGGCTCCCCTGCCCCCACTCCCTGATGCCCGCCGGCCACCCACCTGGTCAGGGTTGTGCACCAGAGGGCAGTTGTCACAGTGGTCGCCAACACCATCGCCGTCCGTGTCCCTCTGGTCCGTGTTGTAGACATAGGGGCAGTTGTCGCGCTCATTGAAGACGTCTGTGGGGGAGAGAGCACAGTCCCATTAAGCAAAATCACTGAGCTCCCTCCCGTCACTGAGCCTGACAGCCAGGCTCCCGCTGGTCAGAGGGGGTGGTGCGTAAGGAGATGACGGGCTGCGTGGACGCGCCTGTGTGACATTTCCCGTTAACTTTCAGATTTCACCCCCGGTGGCCACTGGCTGTGCCCCGTCAGCTCTGAGTCGACGGTGCTATTCCCCAAATAGCCACTCAGGACACGCGCCCTGGGTGCCCAGGTGAGCAGCTGAGGCTCCGAGGCCCTGGCATCCGTCCCCACGCGAGTGGGAAAGTAACGGGCACAGATGCGGGCTTTCAGGTGCCACCTTCGCCCAAGAAACCTGAAGACAGATCACGAAGCCCATCGAGACAGGAGCTGTGAAGAGACAGGTTCCAGGGGACCACAGTGTCACCCTCAGTGACAAGGCAGCAAACACCCCAAACCAGGAGCCCAAGAAAAGTGTGAGGCAAGCCTGGGGTGTGGGGGGAGGGTCACCCAGGTACAGGGCGGCAGGAAAGGACCGGGGCTGCGACCCATCCACGGCCCGGAAATGATGGGTGGACGAGAACAGCTCAGAGAGGCACCTCCTTGCGCCTCAGCCCGTGGGGCAAGCTGAGCGGATCCAGCCAACAGGACAGAAGTTTTCCAACTTCACACTGAGCCTCAAACATGCCCGTGCAGACGTGGCACTGACCGTCGCCGTCGATGTCCACGGAGCAGGCGTCGCCCTCGCCGTTGTGGTCGGTGTCGATCTGGGCGGGGTTGTGCACCTGCGGGCAGTTGTCGCAGCGGTCCCCCACCTCGTCCTTGTCGTAGTCGAACTGGCGCGGGTTGAACAGGAGCTGGCAGTTGTCCTGCAGGGACAGCGGGGGAGGAACTAGAGAAACAGCCCAGTGGACACACCATCCAGCAGAGGTCAGAGGTCGGGGCCAGTGCGTCCACACGGGCGTGGCCAACCCAGCACACTTGTGACCTCAGATTGCTTCCTACTTATATGTGCACCTGCCTCTTTTGAGGTTTTCTAGTGCAGAGACGACAGCATAACTTCCTGGGGAAGGCAGGTGTGTAAATACAAGTGAATGAATGAGTGAATAGATGAATGAATGAACGAATGAATGGGTGAGTCAGTGGGCCGACGGAAGGCAGATGCAGCAAAGCTGTGAGTGAAAATTGCATCTTCCACCCTGCACGTCCCAGTTAGGTGTGGATGTAACTCCTTTATGATTCGCTACAGTTTTCTCAGGAAAGGGAGATGCACATGGCCACAGAGCACGTGTGTCGCCGTATCTGCCACAGCCCCGCCCACCACCGCACCACCAACGAAAAGCTAGTTAAGCTGTTAGCAGCGCTTCTAGCCGAGCGCCCGGCAGCTCCAGGCTTGGCCGGTCACTGCTTGGGTGAAGGACCAGCCTTCTCGTCAGTGACTGGGTGACGCAAGCAGGAGCCCCATCACGACAATTCACGGCCACTGTTTAGTGGGAGGCGCTCATCCCTGACCCCTCTGCTCCGGACCCCAGCGGCCCCTCCCACCTTCTCGTCGCTGACGCCATCGTTGTCATCGTCGTCGTCGCAGGCGTCACCGATGCCATCCTTGTCGAAGTCTTCTTGCCCCGAGTTGGGCAGCAGGGGGCAGTTGTCCTGGGACCAGAGGAAGCACACGTATGACCCCCAGGTCTTTCCTCCATGTGGGCAGCCGCAGCTGAGGACCGAGATGGAGCCTCACGTCTGTGGGCCTCGAGAGAGGCCTGCCCTGGAGACCACGTCACCACCCCTAGGAGTCGAGACCACAGACGCCATGTCCTGAGCCCAGGATCCCGTGAAGCTGCCGAACGCCTGAGGAGGGACGGCTGCTCCGAGAAAAGATGGACGCGGACGGAGCCCCACTGTCCCTCTCCTTCCCGTGAACGTCAGCTCGTCCACCAGGAGCCCACAGCGCCTACGGCCTCACTCCCGGGCCACTCAAGCCTCAGGCTCAAGCCCCTGCCCCGGGTCACTCTTCCAGAGGCAGGGCATGCGCAGCACGTCACAGATCACACATCACGGCCGAGCTGTGTGGACACCAAGGGCGGGGACCACGTGCCGGAGAGGGTCGGCTGCACGGCCTGTGTTTCTATGACGCCCACCAAGTGGGTGGCCCGGCCTCACCCTAACCCTGCTAGAAACCCTGGGGCTCCGCCCCGGCGCCCTCACCTTGATGCAGTGGTAGGTGGCGTTGGTGGCACAGACCAGGTTCTTGTTGGGCCAGCCGTCCAGGTCCGAGTCCTCCCCGCAGATGAGCCCGTCGCCCGCGTAGCCCGTCTGGCACTCGCACTTGTACATGGGGTCGCTGAAGTGGCCCAGGTAGATGCACTCGGCGTGCCGGTGGCAGCGGTGGGTCTTGTCCTGGCACGGGTTCTCGGGCTCGCACACCTGGAGGACGGCCACACTGGTGGGGACCCTGGGACCCCAGCCCCACCACACGGGGTCCAGGCCGCGTGCTCAGGGCTGCACGGACCTTCCCAGGCGGGCCTCCCTAGGGGGGCCTCCGAGGGACAGTGGCTGGGACTCAGCTCCTTCAGGAGCCGCCTGGAGGTACCTGTGTCCCCACCGAGCGCTGCTGACACCTGTCGGAGCCACAGGCGACCGCGGAAGCAGCTGATTCAGTAAAAGCTGAGAGTGTCCTAGTGGATCCTGTAGCCACAGCTGAGCTCTGCCCCCACGTGGTTGGCTCTCGAGGGCCGACAGCGGGTGTGGGTCCGTCTTGCCCGCTCTCCCCAGACGCTGCCCTTCTTCTCCCGTCTCCACCCGCCGCCTCCCCAGATCCCGCTGACTGTTTGGAAGAACGAGCCACACAAAGGGCCGCGCCCGCCGCTCACCTGCTTTTCTGTCTGCGCGGCCTCCAGGCCTGCCCCGAAGGGCTGGGTGCCCTTGTAGCGAGGCGGGCAGGGCAGGCAGTGGAACCCGGGGTCGGTGTTGACGCAGCGCTGGGACTTGCTGCTCGTGGAGAAGCAGACGTCGGTGACCAGGGCGCACTGTGGGGACAAGCAGGGGTGAGCCGCCCGCCCCGCCTCTGAGGTGCCCCCTGCCCTGCCCGGGGTGGGCACTTCCTTGAATGTTTGGTAAAACTCCCCTGTGAAGCCGTCTGGTCCTGGGCTTTTGTTTGCTGGAAGCTTTTTGATGACTGCTTCAGTTTCTTCCATAGTTATTGGCCTGTTGAGATTTTTAGATTCTTCCTGATTGAGTTTTGGAATGTTGTATTTTTCTAGGAATTTGTCCATTTCCTCCAGGTTGTCTAGTTTGTTGAATGCCTGC